TGCGAAGGAGCTGGAGAAGGCGAGGGATGATCAAGCCGCTGAGTTGAGCTTCGTCCATAAATCGATTAAGAAGGTACACAGAAAATCGCATTTACTTCATTTTTGCGTAACGCCCCCTAGAGCCTACATCTCGCCATAATTGGCATTGGGAGTTCAATGTCCAACCATCCGTGGCACCAACTATTTGCAGGTGCCCCCGAACGTCGGCGAGCTCGTGCATCTTACCCGGCTCAATGTGAGCTACAACAGCATCTCCAAGCTGCCGCCCGAGGTGGCGGGCTTGCGCAATCTGAAGTATCTGAACATGGTGAAGAACAAGCTCAAGGATTTGCCGCAGGAGATGACGCAGATTGATACTCTGGAGGAGCTCAATCTCAGCATTAACAAGATCGCCGAGCTCCCGCGCGGCTTTGGATCCTACAACCACCTGCGCTTCCTCGATCTCTCTTTCAACTGCCTCACCGAGCTCTCGCCGCAAATCGGTCTCCTCTCCACCCTCATCGAACTCCACATCTCCTTCAACAAGCTCAAGTCCCTCCCTGCTGAGATCGGTACGTCGCCACTCGCTACTCGCGACTCGCTACTCGCTACTCGCATAAGCGTAAGACCGCACGCGTGCACCCGCACCGCTGCGCGTAGAGCCAAGTGTAGTACAGTAGTACTGACACATGCTCCTGTGTCATCGTGTGTGTGATCGCGTCGTCGTGTAGGCCGATGCACCAACCTCGAGATCATCAAGATGGGCAACAACTGCGTCACGAAGCTGCCGCACGAGCTCGGGCAGCTGGAGAAGCTCCGATCGCTGGACGTGTCCAAGAACAAACTCAAGCTGCTCCCGCCCGACCTTGGCGAGCTGCACGAGGTCCTGGTGGAGTTCTCCACTTCGCTCAACCCCTGTTCGTGCTCCCTCCCCCTCATCTGCATCATTGACACGACACACGTCGACACTGCACTTGCACCCACATCGGTTCCCGCTGTGTGCGCTCACAAGAGGGACGTCGTTGTCGCTTTGCTCTGTGTGCGTGCAGTCATCAAGGAGCTGGATCTGAACGCACGCAAGGGACGGGAGAAGCTCCTGGAGTACCTCCGATCCGAGGAATACGACAAGCTCTACTTTTCCGTACGTCCACCCCTCTCTTTGCCTTCCTTTTGCCTTCTTCTTCGTCATGATCACCGCTTTCTTCTCCGCCCCGTGTTTTATTTACTTCTTCTCTTCTGCTATTCTCTGACCTTCTCGCCATTCTTATTCTTTACTCTTTGTTTGTCACTTGGCGTGGAGAGCAGAAAATGGGAGAGCAGAAGGAAAGCGATAAGCTCTCGGAGAAGGACACCAAGTACTGAACACAGCAGGCCTGTTGTTTCCTCTTCTGCGCCTTCGTCCTGTTGTATTTCTATTTTGAATATAATATTTTTTCTTGAGGGAAACTGAGGGAAGAAAAGAAAATAACTTTCGCAAGGAAGGCAGGATAGTTCCGAAGAGTGATCACTTTGGGAGCGCACAAGAAAGATGTCGTTGAGTTTGATCGATCTGCTGCCGGCTGAGCTGGTGCTTGCGGTGCTATCCCACATCGACCCTCTCTCCAAAGACCCCGCCGCCGTGCGGGCCACCTGCCGTTCGTGGCGCCGCTTCCTGCGCGACGAGCGCCTGTGGCGCCAGTTCCACGCCCGCGTCTACCCCACCCGCCTGCCCGGCGATGAGGCCACCAACGAGGCCCACGACGCGCTCGTCATGCGCGGGGCTCGGTCGTGGCGCCAGTCGTTCGCCGACAAGACCGGCCGGCTCAAGAACGCGCTGGCGCACCACCAGCACCGGGCCAAGTCCAAGTCCGACCACGAGGGCCTCGAGTGGCGCCTTGTGGCGGCGGCCAACGAGGGCTGCCTGCCGCTGGTGCGGCGCTTCGCCGATGCGCTGCTCGAGCTGCTGGCGAGCCGCGGGCTGGAGCCGGCGGAGGGCCTGGCGAGCCTGGAGGCCGACAACCAGCGCCCCAACCAGCGGGCCAGAGGCAACGTGCTGCACATGGCCCTGTGTGGCGCCTGCGTTGCCCACTCCGCCCCAACCGTCAAGGTACGCACCACCGCCTTTTGATTTTTTTATATAATGTAAAATAATCGAATAAAAAAGGTAAAAAAAGAAAATGCCTAGATAATAAATCGATTTATTTATTTATTTATTTGTTTCTAGAATGTTTAATTATCTTTGCTCGCCAGCTGCTTCTGGAGCTTGGCGCCAAGGTCAAGCCAGAAAAGAAGTATGTTCGAGGCGACCCGAAGGCGCCCACAGGCAACCACCAGTACCACGCGCCGTTGAAGTGCGCGGCCGCGAGCCACTACGTCCCGCTCGCCACCCTGCTCTTGGACCATGGCGCCGACCTTGAGCCAACCGCCCTAGCGGTACGTACGCCCAACAAAGGCACTCCCCACAGCACACAGCGCACACGACACACGACGCACACGACACACACGCAACACACTGTGCGGTGATGACCACAACAACAACAACAACACTTGAGGTCAGGCGGCAGCGAGAGTGGGCGACACGGCGATGATCGAGATGCTGCTCCAGCGCGGAGTCGACCACTCGGACGGCAGTGCGCTTTGGTTGGCGGCGCATGCCGGCCACATGGACGCCTTCAGGCTCCTCATCGACCGCGGCTGCGATCCCAGAATCGGTCATGCGCTGGGGAATGCGGTGATCGCGCGCGATGTCGACGCGGCGCGCCTGCTGACCGATCACGGCGCCGTGCCGACCAGCGAGCACGTCGCCATGGCTCTGGGACATGGTATCTGACCCTATCCACCCTAGAACAGATATTTGTGCTATGTGACCCCCAGATATTCGCGCTGTCCCTCGCTCTGGTGCCACATTCTCGACATTCCTCACCACTAGTGTGGCCGCGTGGACAGCGGGGTGGGCCTCTACGGTGGAACTGCTGCGCGTGCTCGCGTCGGGCATCGAAACGAACGAATCGTACAGTTTGCTGACGTCAGCCGCGGTGGCCGCCGGGGACGAGGATGTATGCCGCTTCCTGATCGAGCACGGCGTCGACATCAACACCCACAACGACGAGCTGCCGGGCAGAAAAATTATCAACACGCCGCTTCACCACGCCGGTCAGCCCCACCACCACCTTGTTGTCGTGTCGTGTGTGTGCGGTGGTGCGTGTGTGTGCGGCGGTGCGTGCGCGTTTGTGTTGGTGGAGGCTCCGGCCTGACCGGCGATGTACGCAGCCAGGACAAACAATGTAGACCATGCGAGGTGTCTGCTCGCGTGCGGCGCGTCGACGGACGTCAAGCACAAGGAGACCGGGGTGACCGCGGTGAGCCTGGCGCGCCAGTACGGACACACCGAGGTCGCGCGACTCATCGCCAAGCACCGCGGGTCGGGCGCCGCCAAGGACAAGAAAAAGAAGAAGACGAAGACGAAGACGAAGACGAAAGCGAAGCGGCGACGAAGACCAGCAAGTCGAGCGGGAAGAGAAAGAACCGGTCGTCATCACAGAGCGACATGAATGAAGAAGAAGACGACGACGACGACGACGCGAAGAAGCAGAAGAAGAAAGCGAAGACGACGAAGAAAACGAACAAGGAGAAGAAAGAGAAAGAGGTGTCGGGCGAGAGGCAGGAGGAGCTGGCCCTGGAGGCCGACGTGCGCCGGCTGGCCAGGTTGGACAAGACCGACGTGTTCGCGCTGCGCCAGCTGCTGCGCACGGCGGGCATGAAGCCGAGCGAGATCCCGCGGCGCAAGGTGGAGATGCTGCGGGCCGCGGTCGCGCGTCTCACCGGCGACGACGCCGACGCCCTGCTGGCCAAGTGTCGTCTCCCGCCCAACGCGAGAAACCCATCTCCAGCGCGCCACGTGACTGAGATATAGACAATAGAGAGCATCAATAGAATATATGATATGTTTCTCTACATGTTAAAATATGACAGGTCACGACAACTAAATAGTTAGGCATGCATTATGCTTGTCAGAGACGACGATGACGATGACGATGACGACGACGACGTTGTTGGCGAAGACGTGGGTTGGGCGGTGGTGTGGGCCAACGGACGAAGGCGCAAGCTGAACGCGTAGTGCGGCGCGGGCTTCACCCAGTATCGGGGCAGCACGGTCAGGCCGGACCACGAGTCGTCGCCTGCCGCGCGCGCAGCCACGCGTGAGCAAACGAACAGCCCGCCGACCACAACACAATGGCGCCGAGTAGCAGCAGCAGCAGCAGCAGTACCGCCGAGGCCCATGGTGAGATGGTCGATGCAGAGATGAGCGTGCTCGCCCGAGGTCAGCTCCGTCGGATGATCCGCCGCTGCCACATCTGATCATCAAACCATTTATTTGAGCGCCGCACACGACACAACACGCAGCACGCAACACGACACGCACTACCGCACACACACGCACGCACGCACGCACGCACGACGAGCCGCACCTTGGGCGCTGTACGGCGAGGCGCTGAATTGGAAGTGCGGAGGAGGTGGTGGGCGGTCGCTGTCTGCTCGAGTTGGGAGACCAGACACGAGCAGCCCCGCCGCCGCACAATCGATGGAATCCGTCGTCGGTGAGCGGAGGGCGAGCCATCGCACGTCCGTTCGAAGGCCCGAGTCCTGCGGGAACACGTACGGCTCGAAGAAGCCCTCCGCCGCCTGCTCGTATACGCCCACCTTCGCCCTGCACCCCGCACATGCACACCGCACGCACACGCACACGCACACGCCGCACACGTCGAAAGTTGAGTGAAAGGCCAAGGCTTGGCTGTTGTCGTTGGAGTGGTGGCGCCGCACCCGCGGTTGCGGTCGGGGTAGTTTTCGTGTGGGCCGCGGCCGTAGTAGGCGAGCCGCGCCTCGCGGGGCACCTCCCACGCGAGCCCCACCCGGGCCAGGCTCAGCAGCTCGCCCGCCTCCACCATCGCCTGCCACTCGCCGCCGCCCATCACCACCACTTCGTTGGCCATCACAACGTCGCCGCCGCCGTCGCCGCCGCTGCCGATCGAGTACTCGACGCGGTGCTCGACGGAGAAGTCGTCTGCGTCGCCGCCGCCGCTGCGTCGACGGTAAAGAAAGGATTGGCGGACGACGATGGCGCCGTGGTCGCGGCGGTCGACATCAAATGCGACAAGGCGGGAGGCGAGGTCGTCGAGGCCGAGCTTGCGCCAGGTCCTGGAATTTGAGGTAGGCCGTGTCAGCCAAGCCGAGTTGTGCTTGGAATTCCATCAGTGAGTACGTACGCAGCCGGGCCGAGACCCAGGGAGAGATCGTTGTCGGTCGGCGCTCGCCACAAATTGAGGCGCGGCCCGCGCAACAGCACGCACTGCATTCACCGTCAGACGACACACACACCGCATCACCGCACACACAACGCACCACACGCACACAACGCACACGCGACGTACCGTGGTGGTGCTGTAGGAGACGCGTCCGTCGCGCTTGTCGAACGTCAAGGTCCAGCCGGCGGTCGGGTTGGTCACCACCAGCTCGTCGTCGGTCTCCCGGTCGACCAGCGCGGTGGCCACCATGGCCTCGTCGGCCTTGGCCTTGGCGGGCGCCACGTCATCATCGCAGCACGTGGCCACGAACTGTTCCCAGGCGACGCAGTGGCCCGCGCGAGCCCACGGCTCGTCGTGCTTCAAATTCCAGCTCAGGTCAAGCCAGTAGTCGCCGCGGCCGCGGCTGCTGCCTTTGATGTCGACGGCGTCGACGTTCAGCGAAAGCGCGACGCGGCGCGTGCCGCCCGGCTGCAGGACCAGCTCCGGCAGTCGGCCCCTGCCGACCACTTCGCCATCGCGCCAAAGCAGCCACTGTCGTATGCGTGTGCGTGCGGGTGCGGTGTTAGCGCCGGTGCGGTGTGTGCGGCGTGTTGTGTGCGGGTGCGGTGTGTGCGGTGTGTGAGGCCGTACGTGGGCGTCGAGATGCGAGGTGTCGCGGAAGGCGTAGCGGCTGCGTAGCTCCACCTCGGCCACGCCACGGGCCGGGTCAAAGGTCACCACCGTCGCCCCAATCGGCTGTTGCACTGCAACCACAAATCAATCAATTCGCCAATTAGTAATCATTCAATCAATCAAGAAAGAAAAACCATATAAGTTCTTGGGCGAGGTTTGTTCACATGAACAAACCTTTGTGGCATTCGTGGATGGCCGGGTGGGGCGAGCGATCCGGGAACACGAGGCCGTTAATGCAGAAGTTTCTGTGTCATGCAACACACACACGCACGCACACGCACACGCACACGCACACGCACACGCACACGCACACGCACACGCACACGCACACGCACACGCACACGCACACGCACACGCACACGCACACGCACACGCACACGCACACGCACACGCACACGCACACGCACACGCACACGCACACAAGGAAATAATGTTTTTTTAGGGTGGTCGGTTGCAGCCGAGGAGGTGATGGCGAGCGAGGGAGCGTACTTGTCGTTCTTCAGGTCGCCAAAGTCGCCGCCGTAGGCAAAGAACGGCCGGCCGTCGTTGTTGGTGTGCTTCACCAGGCCCTGAGTGCGTGCGCAGACAAAGAACGACACGCGCGCGCACGATCAGCTCCACGTATGCGCCGTGGGAAAAAAAAGGAAACGAGCACCTGGTCGACCCAGTCCCAGATGAACCCGCCGGCGAGACACGCGTGTGCGTCGAACAGGTCCCAGTACTCCTGGAGGTTGCCCGTGCTGTTACCTGCACACACACATACACACACAACACACAACACACAACACACAACACACAACACACAACACACACACACACGGCTTCAGCAACACCCGCGGAGGGGGGGACGGTTATGAGGGGGCGGGCGTGCCCATGGCGTGGGCGTATTCGCAGAGCAGGATGGGCCGGGGCTGCTCCTTGAGCTCCTCTTCAATGGCGGCCTGGCGCAGCCGTTCAACCGTCGAGTACATGAAACTCACCACGTCCACCACATCACTGTTCTCACCACACACACACACACACACACACACACGCTCAATTCAGTGTTCACGGTCTGGGGCCACAGGGCGATCCGTGTGCGAAGTAGAGGGTGGGCTGGTGCGAACCTGTACTGGGCGGGCTCGTAGTGGATGGGGCGCGTGGGGTCACGCGCCTTGAGCCACGCGCGCATGGCGCCCTGGTTCCGCCCGAACCCGCTCTCGTTGCCTGTTCGCGCCCAGTTAGCAGCTCGTGAATCATGTGTGTCGTGTGCATGTGCGTGTGCGCGGTGATGTGTGTGTGCGTTCTGTGTGCGGTGGTGTGCGTGTGCGTGTGCGTATTGTCGATCGTGCCGTGTCGTGCGCGCGTACCCAAGGACCACATGATGATGGAGGGGTGGTTCTTGTCCCGCTCGACCATCGACGCCAGCCGGTCCACGTACATGGCCTCATACCTGTTGACGATGATGATGACGTCAGCAGCCGGCCACACACACGCCCGCGCCCGCGCCCGCGCAACGGGTTGACCGAGAGATGCTGACGGGAGACCTACGCGGGGTCGTCCGAGAAGTGGTCCCACAGGCCGTGGGTCTCGATGTTGGCCTCGTCGACGACGTAGACGCCCAGGTGGTCGCACAGGAGGTAGAAGAAGGCGTCGTTGGGGTAGTGCGACGTGCGGATGGCGTTGAAGTTGGCCCGCTTCATCATCTGCACATCCCTGATGGCCTCCCGCTTGCTGTTGTCGTCGACATCGGCGGCTGTTGTCGACGACAACGACGATGCTGACGTGGCCGAAGTCGGGAATGAGGAGAATGCGCCGATGCCCTTCCAGGCGTTGAACTCGTGTCGGTTGACGCCGCGCAACTTGAGCGGGCGGCCGTTGAGCAGGAGCGCGCCGTCGCGGGGCGACACCGAGACGCGCCGGAAGCCGACCTTGACCGCATGGTAGCTGCATCGCTGGAATTCCTCACCACCGCCGCCACCGTCGAGGCCATGGCTGCTCAGCACGAAGAGCGCAGTGTAGAGGCGGGGAGTCTCGGCGGTCCACGGCTCGACGTCGCCGATGGCCGCCTGGAATTCCACCACGACCTCGCCGTCGACAGTGTTCGAATTCCAGTCTACATTCTTGGTGCAGCGATGAAGGACCGAGTGCCGCTCGGCGAGGTTGTGTTCGTCGTCGACATACGTCAGCTCGCCGTCGTCGAAGAATCGGAACCGCCGCCCGGCGTCGGCGTCGGCGATGAGCTGCATCTCGACGCGGGCCACCCGGGAAGCGGGAGCGGCCGGGCCGGCAGCGACACGGAGCGAGGCCGCGAGCAGGCCCTCGGTGCAGCTTTCGGTGGTCGTCGACACATAACATCCCATCGAAGAGACGAAGAGGAGGAATGTGGTGAATGTGAGAAATGCTTGATGATGAGGCCAGAGGTACGTTACCTGGGGTCGGTGAAGTCCGTGCGAATGGTCACGTCGCGCAGGTGCACCGGTGGCACGCGATGCACGCACACCGACCGCACGATGCCGCTCAGGTCCCAGAAATCCTGTACAGCACAAGAGGGAAAATGTGAGCAGTGTACTCACTGGTGTGGCTTGTGTTGTGCGTGTGCGTGTGTGGTGTGTGTGTGGTGTGTGTGTGCGTGTGTGCGTGTCGTGTGTGCGTGTCGTGTGTGTGTGTGGTGTGGTGTGGTGTGGTGTGTGGTGTGTGGTGTGTGGTGTGTGGCGTGTGGCGTGTGTGGCGTGAGCGTGTTCACCTGATCTTCGAGATACGAGCCAACGGACCAGCGGTAGACCCGGACGAACAGAACATTGTCCGTGGGTCGCACATACCCGCCGATGCTGAATTCCTGGGTGTGTACAGTGTACGCGGTGCGTGTGCGGTGGTGAGTGCGTGCGAGCGGCAGAAGGACGAGAAAAGAGGATTACCTTGGGCGTGAAGGAGTCCTGTGCGTAGCCCACGGCGTGTCCGTTCACCCACACGTGGAAGGCCGACCTGACCGCCTCGAACCGCAGGAACACGTCATCGCGCCCGCCCGGCCCCTCCTTTAACGGCCGGACGATGATGACGTCAGCAGCACCAGCCAGCCCAGCCAGCCCCCCCCCAGTCATCCACAGACGGTGTACCGCGAGCCAAGCGGGCGGCAGCGAGAACGACACAGCGTAGGTCCCCACGAAGTTGTCCTGGGGCGCCCGCGGAGGCGACACCTGAATTCAGCGAACCCATTCACGCAACGCAACACGACACGCGACACACGACACGATCAGCCTACGTAACAGTTCAAACGGAGCGGATTGAGCTGAGCAGCTCAAGGTTGCGACGGACCGGGTCGAAGGGGTACTTGATGTTGGTGTAGACGGGCACATCTCGGTTGCCCTCCGACGTCGGGTGGCCTGGCAGGCGGCCCAGCAGCTCGAGCTGCCAGTTGGAGGGCACCTCGACGTCTGCCCAGCCCTCGCCGGCTCCGGCGTGTGCGAACGGGTGGTGGGCGGGCTCGGGCGCCAGGGAGGCGTTGAGGGCGCGCTTGAACTTCCAGTGGCGGCCGTCGAGGCACAGCACATGGTCCGAGGGCACGTACGGGCTGCTCGTTCCTCTGTGTTGCGTGTGCGTGTGCGGCGTGTGCGTGTGTATGTGCGTGTGCGGTGGTGCGTGTGCGGTGGTGCGTGTGCGGCGTGGTGAGTGTCCACAAAAAGTGTGGTAGTGTTGAAGAGGGGTCACCTGGTGGCGTGCAGCACGTAGCGAGGATCGACGGAGCGCAGGGCGCTTCGCGCGTCGGTGTGGGGAGGCAGCCACGCTCGCGCCTTCTCCCGCCCCCGATGCACCACTATGGCACCATTGTTTAATAAATGGAATATGAGTTTTTAGTTTTATAAAACTAAAAACAAAATTAACGATGAAGAAGTGATGAGCGGCCTCCAAAAGGGAAGAAGATGCATGCAAGGATTGCAGGAGGCGCACCCGCAGGATTGTTCCAATCTTCTTCGATGGCCAGCCGTTCCATTTCAACAAATGGAAGGAATTGAATTGAAAAAGAAAAAGAAAAGTGAGTATTTATTCTTTGAACTCACTTTGACAACACGCGGTTGTGGCATGCATCAGATGGAGGGCGAATGGCCGGACGACATCATATGTGAGATCCTGGAGCACCTCGATTTCCAATCCCTGTTCTCGTGTGGCCAGGTGTGCCATCAATGGAAGACGCTCACCGAGAATGAATTTTTTCAGAGAGGCAAGAAAGACGAGAAGCGATCCAACTTCCCCTCAGGTGAGCAGCCACCCCACCCTCCTTCTTCCTCATCTCCCTTTATTACTTTCTTTGCCACAATCTTCATTCATTTCATTTCATTTTCATTTGCACACATCATCTTCCACAAAAGCACCTGCCATTGGGCTCAATCCTATGCAACAAGAAGGGCATGGAGCTTCTTCTGACAACACTCTCCCACATCTTTCGCTAAATGCACTTCACAGCAATTCGGCACTACTCGGCCACTCTCCATCTCAATCCCAAGTACTCGCGGGCCTACAACCGACGCGGCAACGCCAAGTACATACAGGGCGACCGCGTCAACGCAGAGAAGGACTGGCGGCTGGCGGCCACCTTCGCCTCGCCCGAGTTCGACGAGACCATGACCGTGGCCGAAGCCAAGATCATCAAAAGCAAGATCCTCGTCGTCGAAGCCAACTACGAAAAGGTCTGTTGTCGTGTCGTGTCGTGTCGTTGGTCGTGTCGTTGGTCGTGTCGTGTCGTGTCTCGTGTCGTGTCGTGTCGTTTTTTGGCGGAACACCCTCTCACTTGCCGGTGCGTCAGGCGCTTGAGGAAGCGGCGGCGGCCATCGAGGCCGATCCCACCAACGCCGATGCCTATCACCAGCGAGGCTTTGTCAAGTCGTTCACAGGCGACATCAGCGGTACGTTCGAGGTCTCGTCTGTGCGCGTGCACGTGTCGTGCGTGTCGTGTCGCGTGTCTTCTTCAAGCGGCTAACGTACGCACCCATCAAGGCGAGATCGAGGATTTTTCAAAGTGTATCGAGCTCAAGCTGCGATTGAATCCGTTCGACGCCTACAACGCCTACAACAACCGCGGGTTGGCCTATCAGGTAACGTCGACGTCGCGCGCGCGTGTACGTGTGTGCGGTCGTGTGTGTGTGTGGTGTGTGGTGTGTGTGGTGTGTGTGTGGTATGTGTGTTATGTGTGTTGCATGTGTGCGTGTGCGTGCGACCCGGTTCCTGACGCCGCACGCACGCACGCGCTGAGTTGCAGGACCGGGAGGAGTGGGATGAGGCCATCCGAGACCACACCGAGGCCATCCGATTACAGCCCAGCTACGGCATCGCCTACAAGCACCGAGGCAAGGCCTACCGCTGCTCCGGCGAGCTTTCGCTCTCCCTGAATGACCTCACAAAAGCACTCGGGGTACGACACGCAACACGCAACGCGTGGCACGACACGACACGCAACACGACACGACACATACGTGTATCTTATGTAAATGGTGTGGTGCAGACAAATCCGAAGGACGTGGACGCGCTGGTGGAGCGGTCGTACACCTACTATGAGCTCGGCCAGCCCGCCAACGCCATGGTGGACTGCGAGGCCGCCATCGCCATCGACCCCCTATGCCACGACGCGTTCACCGTCAAGGCCGGTAACGTTCCCCTCACACTATTTATTTGATTTATTTGATTTGTATTATGTGTTTATTTATTTGAATTGTTTATTACTTGTTGTTTACTTCTATTTTTTAAAATTGTGCAGGGCTGATGGCCGACGTGGGCGACAGCGAGGGCGCGATCGAGATTCTTACGGGCCTGCTCGACCAGGCGCCCGACGCCTTCACATTCCGCTTCCGGGCCGAGCTCCGAATCCTGCGACAAGACTTCGAAGGCGCCAAATCAGGTAAAACAAACACATCACAATTCAAGCTTCTGTTGCGTTGCAGCGGCTTCAACATGTATGTAAGTAGCTGACGACACACCAACATCAACATCACCGCCGACATCAATTAAAGACTACCGGCGATGTCTCGAGCTCGACCCGACTGACGAGGACGTGCGAACTCGACTAGAGCACCTGGAGGAGCATCTCGCCCCACCAGGCAACGGAGGCGGTGGCACCGCATAGCCCCTCACTCGCGTGTGTGCGTCGTGTGCCGTGTGTCTCGTTTCGTGTGTGTGCGTGTGTGCGAATGCTTGCTGATGTGTATGGCATATGAGCTACAATTCAGGGCGTCGTCCGCAACACATTGAATGAACGAACAAGACAAGATGAGGCGAACAAAGAAAAACAAGAATACAAAAAGAGGCGCATTGGAGGTGCTTAGGCTCCGAGGTACTCGGGGTTGTTGCCTCGGCCGACGAGGTTCATGGTCTTGCGGTAGGAGTAGACGCAGCCGTCCTTGACCAGGCCCGGCAGCGACACCCAGAAGGCGTACTGCGGGATCTGGTTCTCGATGCCCTCCTCCTTCCGATACCACTTGTTGAACGCGAAGCCCGCCGCGAAGTAGACGATCGTCACCGAGAACAGCCTGGACGGAAGAACGAAAACGAAGAGTGAGAAGAACGAAAAATGAAGAAGAACGAAGAGTAGGAGCGAAGAAGAACGAAGTGCGAATGGGGGGGGGGGCTACACGATGATGAAGATCCAACCGCCGGCCAGTCCACCGTCATCGTCGCTGCCGCCGCCGCCGCCGCCGCCGCCACCACCATTGCCGCCACCGCTGGACTTGACCGGGCAGGCGTAGACCGACTTCCAGTCAAAGAAGAAGTTGTTAAAGCTGGGTTCTGCGCCATTCGGACCCTGCGTTGATCGATGCAAGAGAAGAAGTGGTGAGACGGAGAGAGCGATAGCGATGACGATGAAGGTGATGTTTGGGGGGGGGGTAGAGAGAGCCGTACGGGGACCATGTTGCCCACGGACGTGAAGTTGGGATCGCAGATAAAGTCGATGGTGGTCGTGGCCGGCGCGCCTGCGCCGGCAGAGCTGGTGAACACGACCCGGAAGCCCTGCATCAACCAAAGCAAGACCCTTCGTTAGGCAACGCGTGCAGTTGTGCGCGTGCGGTTGTGTGCGTGTGCGTGCGTCGTGTCATCGGAGAGATAGAGAGCTCCAAACCTTTTCGTTACCGGGGCGCGGAGACGAACTCCACCGGGCCGTGGCGTAGTCGCCCAACGGCCAACCGCCTGCATCACGATGGTCCCACCAGAGAGATGAGAACCGCGGTGAGCCCAGAGAGAAAAAGAGAAAAAAAACGAAAAGAGAAACGTAGCAATTAAATTAACAAATAAATTATTGTAAAAATTATAATTAGAATAAGTAATAATAGAATGAAAGCGACGGAGGAAATGGGAGTGGGACCGGAAGTGGAGCCGGAGACTCTCTGACACAACGCCACGCCCTGGTACGTTTGGCACTGCAGTGTGCAGAGAGAAAGGATGATGACGGGCTAAGCATCAGAAAGCTCTCTCCGCGGAAACGAGTTGCGGGGGAGGGAGTGCACGTACGGTGGTGGGCATGCAGGGAGTGTAGGTCACCACGAACGAGGCCCATGTCGCGCTCTGCCAGTCGGAGAAAAGATGAAAAGGAAAAGGAAGAGGAAGAAGAAAAGGATTAGTTCGCTGGGCGGGGGGGGCACTTTCTTTAGGGAGCGGGAGAGGGGCACACTAACCTGCTGGTAGGCGCTGAGGGGCGAGAGGTCGTATTTGAGTCCGTTGATAGTGTTCTGGCACTGCGACTGCCCGGCGGCGAGAGCAGCGAAGCAGCAGCACAGGAGAGCCACGACTGCAAAGTGGGCAGGCAAGGCCTTCATGTTCTCTCTCTTCCTCTCTCGGTGGTGCGGGGTCGAAAATAAAAGTGAGAGCGGAAGATCTCCGGGGGGAAGAGGCGGGGCAGGAAAGAGGAGGAGAGAGATCCTCGGTGATGCCGACGAACAATGAGCAGCAGCAGCAGCAGAGCGCAGGGAAGAAGGAAGTCTCCGTCTCACCACACAATTCGGGACACGGGGAACACCCAAAGAACGTGAGAACTGCCCCCGTTGGCGGGCGGGTTGAGATGATGGAAAGCTTTTCCGATATTTCTGAAGGCGAGAACATTTTTTGAGAGTTTTTTTATGTTTTTTTGGGTCTTGTAAACAAAATTGTCAACGAGCCGCGTTCGTCAGGGCGAGGTCAGAGCTTGGAGCGCGACTCGTGTCGAGAGCACAAGAGACATGCTTTCGGAGGATGGTAGAGCGTAGACTTGCAGAGAGCTTGGGTTGGGCGGACGAGGTGGGGGCATTTACTTCTTGCCGGCCTTCTTGGCCGAGGCGGTAACCTTACCGGCCTTGGGGTCCTTGCGGGTGACGGCCTTGATGACGCCGACGGCGACGGTCTGCCTCATGTCACGGACGGCGAAGCGGCCGAGGGGCGGGTAGTCGGTGAAGGTCTCGACGCAGAGGGGCTTCGAGGGGATGAGGAGCACCATGGCGGCGTCTCCAGACTTGACGGCCTTGGGGTTGTCCTCCATCTTCTTACCCGAACGACGGTCGACCTTCTCGAGGAGCTCCTTGAACTTGCAGGCAATGTGGGCGGTGTGGCAATCGAGCACGGGGGCATAGCCAGCGTGGATCTGACCAGGGTGGTTGAGGATGATGACCTGGGCGGTGAAGTCCTCAGTCTCCGT